ACACACACAGATACACACAGACACAGATATGGACACACACACACACACAGCCACCACCCCCCAAACACACACACAGACACGCACACAGACACAGATATGGACACACACACACAGCCACCCCCCACCACAGATGCATACACAGACACAGACACAGACACACATACAAAACCCTGGAGGGTGCTGCTTCTCCTCCTGCAGATGGTCAAGGTGACCTGGCCTTTCTGAGGCCTCTGACCTCGCCTGTCCTGAGCATTGCTATGTCTCATGGACCTCAGACCCAGCCAGGAAAGCAGGGGAAGGGGGCTTCCTTACCATGTCTTGCATTCGGTTTGGATTTGGGCTCCTCTGTGGTAAGAAAGGCCCCCAAACTCACAGGGGCAGTCGTCAGCTGGCACACAGTCCCCATCCAGGTTCTCGTACAGTCCCCCAGCACAGACACAGCCGGACTCACATTTGGTGGGCACCTGGAGAGGATGGAACCGGGGTCGAGGGGGTGGCAAAGAGAGGGACCATGAAAGGTGAGGGTGGGTACCAGGCCACATTCTGATCCAAACCCAGGCAGCAGAGGCAGTGCACACTTAGGGGGAATGGAGAGGACCCTGGAGGCAGGGAGGGCCCCAGTTTGAATATCAGCCTTAGCTCTTATTGCCTGTGTAACTAGGATGCTCCTCCTTCTCTGGGCCCCATTTCCCTCCTCAGTAAAATGAGGCAGCTGGACTCCATGGGCTCCAGGGTCCCTTACAGGGCTAAATCATTGCCGATCGTTGGGCAAGTTGTCTCCCCCCGTTGTGCTTGCCTGGCTTCTCACGGCTTTCTTAAGCCTCTCCCTGCCTCCCCCAAACTGGCTGTCTCCCTGCCCCCAGAGCAGCCCAACTCTCTAACCTTGCCCCAGGCCTGGTGCTGATAGTAGCCCCTGTCCCCCAGAACCTTCTCTATCCCTGAGGCCCAGTGGGGGCATAGGGGGCTCCTTGGGGGAAGGTGTGGCTTTGCTTTGGGGTCTATATCTCCAGGTCAATCACCCCCCTCACAGCTGGTGGATGTCCTCCCCCAGAGGTGGTGGGGGGGCTCCCTACTTCTGCCCTCTCCCCTCAGCAAAGAACTTACACAATCAATTCCAGTGGCTAACATCTGGCAGGTGGGAGCACAAGCAGCTCCATATTTACTGTCTGAAGCCTGAGAACAGGACAGGTACTTCTTGGGGGCCTTACAAGACTCTGGTGGAGAGGAGAGAAAGAGGAGGAGGAAGAGGGGGAACATGAAGGAGAGAAGGAAGGATATGGGACAGGAGAAAAGAGGAGGAGGAAGAGGAGGGGGAGGAGGTGAGGAGAAGGAGAGGGAGGAGGGGAGGAGAAGGGGAAGGAGGAGGGGGAGGGGGAAAGGGGAGGAGGAGGAGGGAGGGTAAGAGAGGGAAGAGGGTGAAGGCAGGGGGAGGAGGGGAAGAAGGGGAGCAGAAGGAGAAGGAGAGCTGGTGAGTTTCCTCAGATACTGCCCCCACTCCAGACTGCCAGCTGTGGGGTGCTCACCCCTGCAGCCCCTTCCCTGCGTACCTGAGAGATCTGGAGGTTTGCCTGTACAGCTGAGCCTTCCATTAATGCAGTAGCTATGACAGAGGGGAGGGAAAGGGTCAGCAGAGCCCCTCTATCCCTGATAGGTCTCACGGACGCTGGCCAGCCAGGCCCCAGCCTTTTTATCCCCACAGCATTTCTGAGGACAGTGGGGCTCACAGAGGGACATTGACTTGCCCAGTCTCCCAGCTCCCCACCCATCAGAAGCAGGACTTAAACCCAGGGCCCTGGACTCCAGCCTTGCTGCTCCCCGTCCCTGCCACCTGTGTGTGCCTAGGGCTGACGCAATGCTGGGGTTTGGGGTCTGTGGCCCAAGAGGAGGGCCCCAAGAGACTGTCGAGCCCACCCCCGATTGGATGCATAGGGCCATGCAGTCAGCCCAGAGAAGGGAAAGGACCAGTCCAAGGTCGTGCAGAGCCCGAGGTGACACCAAGACCGGAGTGCTCCTGCTACCCTGTCCTGCCCATCGTGCCCAGTCCCTCTTCCCTGGGGCTGAGAGGAGGTAGATGGCAGCAGTGAAGGCTCAGGAGGTGTGCTGTCTTCTTTCTGCTGCTGTCACTGTTGCCTTTCAAGCAAGCACTGTCGCCCATTAGAGACCACATTTCTCTACTGCTTTAAGGTTTGCAAACCCCTTTTATGGATGGGGAAGAGAAGGGGATAAACACCTATGCAGTGGTTATCATTTGCACTGTGCTAAGCACTTTTTACAAATATGCTCTCATCTGATCCTTAGAACATCCCAGGGAGGTGGGAGCTATTGTTAGCCCCATTTTACTGATGAGGAAAATAAGGCAGACAGTGATAAATGACTTGCCCAGGGTCACCCAGGTAGTAAGTGTCTGAGGCAGGATTTGAATTCAGGTCTTCTTGACTACAGGTCTGGCATTCTCTTCACACACAGAACCGCCCGGCTCCTGCCTCTGACCATCCCCACTCTCCCTGGTGCTGGCCCCATGCCCATTCTTATTTCTGTAGGTCTCTGGTCCAGCTCCCTGAGTCCCATCTCTGTGGTCAGTTCCAGAGACCAGGAGCTGGCCACCCAGCACACAGCAGGGGTGCACAGAATGCGCCTGACTAGTGTATGGCGTATGTTGGCTATCAGGCTAACAAGACCCAGCCCCTGTCCACGGACAGATAGCTCCTCGCTGTCCTGGTGGGAGAGGAGACAAGCCAGCAGTGGGGACTGGAGAAGAAAACCGAGGAGGTGTGCAGGCCTTGGGGCAGCTGAGGGGCTTAGGGATTCACGAGGGGAGAGCAAAGAGAGCAGTGTGGCCTGCGGGTGGAGGTCATGGAGAACGTGTGTGTGTGTGTGTTTGTGTTTATATGTCTGTATGAGCTTGTGTCTGTGTCTGAGTGTGTGTGTATGTATGTGTGCATGTTTGTACAAATGTGTCTGTGTATCAGAGTGTGTATATGTGTGTTTCTGTGTGTATATGTATGAGTGTGTCTATGTATATCTGTGTGTATGTCTACGAGTGTGTATGTGTGCAGGAGTATATGTGTATGTGTGTGTGTGTGTCTGTGTGTAGGAGTATGTATATGTGTGTTTCTGTGTGTCTATGTGTGAGTGTGTCTGTGTATATCTGTGTGCATGTCTGTGAGTGTGTATCTGTGTACAGGAGTGTGTGTGTGTATGTGTGTGTGTGTGTGTGTGTGTACAGGGGTGTGTATATGTGTGTTTCCGTGTGCCTATGTATGAGTGTGTCTGTGTATATCTGTGTGCATGTCTGTGAGTGTGTGTCTGTGTACAGGAGTGTGTGTGTGTATGTGTGTGTGTGTGTGTGTGTTTGTACAGGGGTGTGTATATGTGTGTTTCCATGTGCCTATGTATGAGTGTGTGTATATCTGTGTGCATGTCTGTGAGTGTGTGTCTGTGTATGGGAGTGTGTGTGTCTGTGTGTGTCTGTGTGTAGGAGTATGTATATGTGTGTTTGCATGTGTCTATGTATGAGTGTGTCTATGTATATCTGTGAGTATGTTTGTGAGTGTGTGTCTGTGAACAGGAGTATGTATGTATGTGTGTGTCTGTGTGTAGGAGTGTGTATATGTGTGTTTCTGTGTGTCCATGTATGAGTGTGTCTGTGTATATTTGTGTGTATGTCTGTGAGTGTGTGTATATAGGAGTGTGTGTGTGTGTGTGTGTGTACAGGGGTCTGTATATGTGTGTTTCCATGTGCCTATGTATGAGTGTGTCTGTGTATATCTGTGTGCATGTCTGTGAGTGTGTGTCTGTGTACGGGAGTGTGTGTGTCTGTGTGTGTCTGTGTGTAGGAGTATGTATATGTGTGTTTGCATGTGTCTATGTATGAGTGTGTCTATGTATATCTGTGTGTATGTCTGTGAGTGTGTGTCTGGGTACAGGAGTGTGTATGTATGTGTGTGTGTCTGTGTATAGGAGTGTGTATGTGTGTGTCTGTGTGTCTATGTATGAGTGTGTCTATATATATCCGTGTGCATGTCTGTGAGTGTGTGTCTGTGTACAGGAGTGTGTGTGTCTGTGTGTGTCTGTGTGTAGGAGTATGTATATGTGTGTTTCCATGTGTCTATGTATGAGTGTGTCTATGTATATCTGTGTGTATATCTGTGAGTGTGTGTGTAGGACCTAACTTAGGCTCTGACTCAGGTCCAACTGTGTCACTCCCCTGCTCGTAAAGTCCCGTGGCTCCCTCCTTTACATCTCATTCCAGCCCACCCTTTTGGACTTGGGTCCTGTCTCTCCTCTGTGCTCTCTCTCTGCTCTGCCCTGAGGTTGGCACGCCATCTCTTCAAGGCTCACAGCTCATGAGCCACCTCCTCAGGGAAACTTTTTCCCAGGCTCCTTGGCTGTCCTGCTTCTTTCCTCTTTGCAAGACCTTTTGTTGACCCCTCTGCATGCAGATTCGATTCCATCCATCCCCTTGCCTCTGAACTTGAGGTCAGTAACTTTACAGCCCAGCCAGACTGAAAGATCATGTGAGAGGTGACCTCCCTATTGTCTCAGTTCTAGCTTGATTGGCCCTGGACCAGCAAGTGGAGGCCCAGCTGCCCCCTTGTGCTGATGGGACTGTGGGTGAATCACTTACTGACCTTGTGCCTCAGTTTCCCCATCCATAAAATGGGGAGCAACCCACCTCCCTTGGGCCTCAGATGCTCAGAGAACAAGCCTCAGACAGGTTTGTGGAGCTCACCAGGGAATTCCGCTGATGATGGTGGACTGGTCAGCCAGAATGAATTTCCGGTCTTCCAGGAAACAGGGGCATTGGGACTGGCGGACACATTCACTTCTGTGGTCCAGGTAGGTGCCTTCTGGGCAGTTACAGCCATCCACTGGGATGTCACTGGGGTGGCATTCGAGGGTGCGGTCAGCAAGGGACAGGCAGGTGCGGTCACAGGCCTGGCTATCATAACTGAAGGTCTGGTTCCCAGTGCAGGAGATGGCTGTGAGCATAGGCCAGGAGGGAATTAATACTTGTGGACCCTTCCCCAAGAATGTCACAGAGTCACCCAGGGCCACTGGTGGGTTATGTTAAAGGGGTGGCCAAGAGTAGCCTGGAGACGGACACCTCCCCCACGACCAGAGGTGCTGAGGGTGGGCCCCTCCCCCCAGGACAAGGGGGCTCCCTGGGGACACATACTGCAGTTGTCCACAGTGCTTCTCCAGTCGGTCAGGATGAGCCCCATGGAGGCACACAAGCGGGCATAGGAGCCCAGGGCTGAGCAGATGTAGGCGAAGGTCTCCTCGTAGTTGCAGGCCTGGTAGACGCATCTCTGGAAGCACAGGGTCAGGGTGGGGCAGAGGGTGTGGGGGGTGTCAGTGTTAAGGCGAAGGTGTTGGCAGCAGGGGAAGCAGCTTCCATAGGGACCCCAGGAGAGGAAGGCTCAGCCGACAGGGACCATTGCACAACTCCAGGCACTTTCTGGGACAGTGTAGACACCCCCTGGGAGGGGGCAATCTGGGCTCCCCAACTCCTGCCCAGTTGGACACAGATGTGGTCATGGAGTAAAGTGCCAAGAACCATGCCAGCCCAATCTAAGGGTGGTGGCTCTTGGACTTTCTTCTCCTGTCCCTCGCTTTTCTTTTCCATGTCTTAGTCATTTTGTAATGTAATTTCCCCCCTGCCCCAATTAACAAGCATTTTGTTTTCATTCCCTCCCATCTCCCCTCCCACTCCCACCGCATTGGAAAAAGAAGAAAAGAAAAATGGAGTCCTCGTGACGAATATGTGTTGGTTTTTACTGTTCAGTCATGCCTGACTCTTGCTGCTTCTATTTGGGGTTTCCTGGGCAAAGATGTGGGGTTTGCCATTTCCTTCTCCAGCTCATTGTACAGATGAGGAACTGAGGCAAACGGGGTTAAGTGACTTGCCCAGAGTCACACAGATAGAAAGTGTCTGAGGCTGGATTAGAACCCAGGGCTTCCTGACTCCAGGCCTGGTGCTCTATGCCCTATGGCGCCGCCTAGCTGTAGGCTCAAACAAACCAAATTGGCTGTGTCCAGACATGTGAGTATAGGAAAGGCGCACGTAATATATATGCATACGTGCACATATATGTGTATACGTGTGTATATACACACACGTGCGCATGCAGCTCCACACCCAAGCCGGTCTGTCCCTCAGCAGCTGCCTCCCGCTTCCTGGGGCTCCCTGCCGGGTCCTTGCGCTGGCCAGGGTCCTGAAGCCCTGCGGAGCCGTACGGGCTGCGAGCATGCGCCTGCTGGGCTCTCGGGTTCTGCTCCCTCCCTCAGCATCAGTCTGGACGAGTCGGGCTCAGGCCATCGCCTTCTCCTTGTGCCCAGCCCGGGGGCGTCCGACCCTCGCCTCTGCTCCCCTGCTTGATGGGCCTTCCCTGTTTGGCCACCACAAGGGAGCTACATGCCTCAGGCATCGTGGGGACGAGAGCCTGCGCTTCCCAAGGCTCCACCGCTGGGTCCTGCGAGCAGCCTAGCCACTGACGGGCTCACCCACAGTACGGCCTGGTCGCCTGCAGGGAGGCTGGCCTACAGGAGGCCTCAGAGACTGCCCACTAAGGAGTGGAGGGCTGTCCTCTACACTGGTAAAGGGGCATGCTGCCTGGGATCTCTGGAATGTGCAATGATTCCCGGTGTCCCACTGAGGCAGCTGGCCAGTGCCACAGTGCCCAGAGACCTGAGGAAGACCTGGGTTCAAATCCAGCCTCAGACACAGCAATTGTGTGACCCTGGGAAAGTCACTTAACCCATGTCTGCCTCAGTTTTCTCATCCACAAAGTAGGAACAATAATAATGCCTACCTTAAAGGGTTGTTGTAAAGTGCTTAGGACAGTGCCTGGCACATAGTAGGAGCTCTATTGATGCTTATTCCCAGCATTTTGGGCATCGGGGTAGGGCACTGGGAGTGGTTGGTGTGATCCAGGAGGGGCAGTAGGGGCAGAGGCCTTTGACCTGCCTGAGCCTCAGCGTTCTCCTTTGTCAAATGGTCATAATAATTTCTGCCTGCTTCACAGGCCCATGTACTGTGTGGGAGAGTAGGGGTGAGCTGTCAAGCCTCATGCTGAGCGTGTACCTGTGTGCATGTGTGCATATTTGTGCAGCCAGTGTGTGCATACATGTGTATTGTGTGTGCATGTATGTGCATGTGTGTGCGTGAGGGGAGGGAGGCACTACCTTGTAAAAGGGGGTTGGGTTGACCACTGCATGACAAGCCTCAAACACTGTCCCTTTCTTCACCAGCATGGAGCAGTGGGTCTCTGCACACATCTCTGAGGGCAAGCACAGGGAAGGCCACGGTCAGCATGATGAATGAGGCAAGGTGCCCACCCTCCACCTTCTGTGCTCCAAAGGGTGCTGAGGGGAAGCTGCCCCAGATGTGCTCCAGGTGTGGGTGGGGCTTCATGCTAGAAGGGCCACAGGGAGCACCCAAGGCCAAATGGGGTCAGCCCCCAACCTGGCCTTGCTGGGCCTCTGGTCTCAGGCTGGCCTTGGGGCCTGGCCACTGGGTGTGCCATGGGGAAGCTGGTGGTTGCTGGCAGAGCTGGCCTGGGGGTGAGCTGGAGTGGGCTCTGAGGGAAGAGAGGAGCTCCAGGGGATAGTGGAATCAGAGGTGAAGGAGGCAGATGCTGGGTAGTCCAAAGGCACTGACCCAGGGCAGAGGTTCCCTGGGCCCCGAGGTCTTGCCCAGGGAAAGCCTGAGGGTGGAGGCTGGAGGAAGGGCCTGGGTCCCTGGGGCTGCCCACAGTGGGCACCAGCCCTGGCTTGCCAGCCCCATGGAGGTGCCAGGGGTGCAGCTACAGGGCCCAGGGGCCTCTCTGGGGCACTCACTGTTCAGCTGGCTCATGGAGCAGGGGTCCGTCTCCCGCTCCAAGGCACTGGGGCAGTTTCCCGACCTCCAAGAGTCCACAAAGAGGGAGGCTGTGCCCTCAATGATATTCATGCTGCTCAGGAAGTCATCTGTTGTATCTCCATTGTAGTTTCCACAAAGTCCTAGAAACAAGGATAAGCACGGCGGCTGGGACACTCAGTTGTTCTCTACACACGTCTCTCCAAGCCTTGGAGATCCAGGTCACGTGGGCAGCCTCAGAAGCTGGAGCCATAACGGACCTCAGACCCAGATCTGACCAAGACAGGGCAACTGCCTTGCCAAGTGGCCATCCCACTGTTTGACCTCACCATTGGGGAGCTCACTACCTGCCCAGGTAGGTACTTCATTTGAATAGCTGTAATTGACTGTTTTCCTTTATGGAGCCTCTCCTTGTCCTGTTCTCTAGGGCTAAGCAGAACCCATCCAGCCTCTCCCCAGATGTCAGTTCTCCAAGACAGCTTTGATGTGAACATCCTCCAGCCCCAGGCTTTTCTTTCCTAGGCTAACCCTTTCAATGGCCTTCTTCAGCAATCTCAAGCCCCCTTGACATCATTGTTACCCTCCTTGAAGGCCAGCCCTGCCTCCCAGATCTGGGTTTTGTGACTTCTGCTTAGGCAGGTCTGGGGTCCACCTGGGCTTCATTGGCTCTCCTGGGGCAGACTGGCCCGCTTCTGGATGATCTGGCTTAGCTACTGGTGATGAAGTCTCTGGGGAGACGCAACAATCCCATAGCCTCTCTGTGCTGGCAGGGATGTCAGAGCCCTTCAGAAATGGGGAGCTCATTATCTCCTGCAGCAGGCAGCCCATTCCTCTTTTGACTTCAAAGTCAAGCCTGCCCCCTGCCCCTTTCCCTCACTGGCCCTCAATTGCCCCTCAGGGGCCCTGGCTCCAGGCCAGGCAGTGGGAAAGCCCTGTTTCCAACCCTGCCTCTGAAGCTCACCAGCTAGGTGACCTTGGCTATCTGGGTAAACTGAGGTAATGGACCAGGGGGATCGACCAGAGGGTCTCTGAAGCTCTGCTGGTCTCCTGCCTGAGTACAGTGATTGGGGCTGCAGGGGACACTCACCTCGGGTGTTGCCCTTAAACTGGAGGCCGACTTTCACATAAACCTGAAACACGGGCCGCAGCTGTACCACCAGCTCTAGCCCAAAGGTGGTGGACATCTGGAGGTGGGTGGAGGTCTGCCTGAAGATTGTGATGTTACCTGCAAGGCAACCAACTCAGACCTGGCCCTGGGGTCTCCTGGGGCCTCCCCCCGGCATTCCCTCCCTCCTCAGTTGGCTTGGCTGCATGGGAGGGGAAGTCTCAGTGAATCAGGGACTAGATGCACCAGAGGCAGCATCTCCCTGTAGAACTGGGGGACTCCAAAGGGACTCCCCGTGCCGGGGGCAGGGTGGGGAAGATGTCACCTGTAGCAACTGCCGAGCCCCAGGTGCCTCAACACTGTCTGGGAGGCTGACTCTCCCTGACAGTCCTGAGGGCCCAGTAGGGGTCTTTCTCCTCCCTTCTCCCCAGTTAGGGGCCAGTGAGAAAGGCTCTAGGCTGTGCAGTGGGACCAGAGCGCTGGGAATCATTCTCCTTGCTTGACTGCAGGCTTGTCCCAGGGCCTTCCCAGCTCTGAATTCCCTAGCAGAGACTAGGGGACTGATGAGGGACCATGAAAGTGCCTGCAACTGGGGAGGGGGCATTGGGTTCAGAGCTGTCCTGCACAAGCTCTGCCTGCTGGCCAGGGACAGCTGTGGGGTCCCATGGGAACTTTAGGCAGGGGGCTGGTGCCCACCAGGGGCTCATCATCACCTCTTTGGTAGGGCAGCCACTTGATGTCCCCATCATCTGTGAGAAGCTCGTCTTGAGAAATCATGATTTTGTCCTGGTGAGGGAGGGAGCCAGAGTCCAGGGAAAGGGGGGAGGGGGAGATGGGATGGGGAGGGGGAGATGGGATGGGGAGGGGGAGATGGAATGGGGGAGGGGGAGATGGGATGGGAGAGGAGAGATGGGATGGGGGAGGGGGAGATGGAATGTGGAGGGGGAGATGGGATGGGGAGGGGGAGATGGGATGGGGAAGGGGAGATGGGATGGAGAGGGGGAGATGGAATGGGGGAGGAGAGATGGGATGGGGGAGGGGGAGATGGGATGGGGAGGGGGAGATACAATGGAGAGGGCATGACGGTAGAGCAGACCAAGAGGAGCTGGCTGGCCAGGGGAGGGTGAAGCTAAGAATTCTAGCCACAACCACCCAGTGGCTTTCGGATCATTGGGAGTTTGCTCCCAGTCCATGTGTGCTCTCTGTGCCCTCAGAATGCATTTTCAGTCTTTTTCTCTCTGTGTCTCTGTTTGTCCATCTCTCCCTCTTTCTCCCTCCTGCACACTCATTCTCTTCCTTTCTCTGTCTTTCTCTGCATGTGTCTCTGTCTCTCTGTCTCTATCATTGTCTCTCTTGCTTTGTCTCTCTGTCTCTGTCTTGTCTCTCTGTCTTTCTCTGTCACATTGTGTCTCTCTCTGTCTCTGTCTCTCTCTGTCTCATTGTCTCTGTTTCTGTCTCTGTCTCTCTCTGTCTCTCTCTCTCTCTCTCTCACACACACACACACACATACCCTTACTCTTTCACACACTAACCATCCTTCCTTGGCCCTAAGTAAGGGTGGCACACCCAAGCTAGGGTTGATTGGCACCAGCCCACGTTTCCTATTGTGGATCTTGGGGTGGGGGCAATTTGTTGGAGACACCTCTACTCCCACCCCGGCACCTGCTTCAGAACCAACGTAAGCTTTGGCTCTTGTCCCTGTGCCTTCCCCAGAAGAGATCTCTAAGTACCGCCCAACAGTGCCAGCTCTGGCCCCGTGCCCTGAGCTTACCTTGGCAGTGGAGTAGATAACAGCCGTGAGTGAAGTTTCTGAGTGAGAGTAGCCGGATTTGTCGTACACAGCCATGAGGGTGCCATTGTTGGGCAGGCTTGTGCTCTAGGGGAGGGGGGTGAAAAGGACAGCTTTGATGAGGAGACAGTCAGGTAAAGAGGAAGCCAGGGTCTGGTCCTGTCCACTGTCTTCCAGTGCAGCTGCCCCCGAGCTCTCAGCTGCCTGAAGCGGACTATCGGGGGAGCAGCGGCTTCCTGTTGCAGCCTTAACACACTCTCCCCTGGAGGGTGGGGGACCCTGCTCTGGGACCCGACTGGATTTTGTGGTTGCTGGAAATCAATCCATCAACCAACCAATGAGCATTTAAATGCCTCCTATGTGCAAGGCACCCGTTACACTCTGGGGGTACAAAGACCAAAATTCAACAAGTCCTGCCCTCAGGGGGCTTACAGTCTACTAGGGAAGGTAGGGAATGAGACCATTTTCCCATAATTTTGCCTAGAAGATGAACACAAGGTCATTTGGGGAGGGAGGGCACAGAGCGATTGGGGGAACAGGAAAGGACTCAGAGGAGGGGAGCCTGGATTCTAAGAGACTGGTGAGGAAGGGAGGGCAGCTCTAAGCAGGGAGGGCAACCAGGGCAGAGCCCCAGAGGTGGGGGATGGGGTGCTGTTGGCCAACATGGTGGGAGCATGGAGCGTGAGGGAGGTTCTGCAGGGCTTCGAAGGCTAAACAGAGTCTTTTATGTTTGATCCTGGGGCAGAAGGGAGCCAATGGAGGTTACTGAGGAGGGGGTGACACGGTCCATCGTGTACTTTGGTGGCTGGACTGGAGAGGGAAGAGACTGAGGCAGGCAGACTGTCCAGCAGCTAGTGCAGTGATTCTGGCTGGAGGGGATGCGGGTCTGCCCCAGGGTAGGGAAGAAGGCGTGTGCGACAGAAGCAATGAGATTTGGCAATTGACTGGACATGTGCAGGGAGCAAGAATGAGGAATCGAGTAGATGCTCATGGTGATTGTTTTTTCTCTTTAAGGATCAGGGACACAGGTATGTTTGTGTCAGTAGTCAGGAAGGGACGGAAGATTAGTGAGAGAATGGGGATGACAGAGCAGGTGGTCTGCGGGAGGAGATGGGGCAGAAGGAAATCGCTTGGGCAGGGGAGGGCTGGGCCTTGGCAATGGGGAGGGGCACGTCTTCATGGGACATGATGGCAGAAGGCATTGGGGAGACATGGGATGAGGAGGAGGAGGAAGGGGAGGAAGAGGAAGAGGAGGAAGGGGAGGAGGGAGGGTGGGAGAGAAGAGGGACCTCATGGCCACTGGCCCCTATTCTCTGACTCCTCTGAGGTGAGGCCCTGCCCCAGCCCCAGGGGTAACATGTATGATTGTTCCACCAGCTCCCATGGGGAATGTTGGCCCGTGTCCAAGGCCATTTATTCATGTGAGGGCAGCTTCCCAGGAAGCTGATAAGGAACACAAGATGAGATTGTGAGCTGGGAGGAGCCTCACAAGCAGCTAGTCTGACTCTCGTTTCACGTTAAGGCCCCAGGCTGGAAGCCGGGTCATTGGGCTCCAGGTGCAGCTCTCTGGGTCTTGCTGGGTGGTCCTCCAGGCAGCCTCAGACTAGTTTCAGGGAGAGGGGAGGGTGAAATCTTTATCCTGTTGTCTCTGCTCTTTGGAATCTGATCCCAGGGACCAACTCATCTATCCTCAAGATGGGATTTCCCAAGGCTGCTCAGAAAAGGATCCACCCCCAACTACCTGAAGCGCCACCATCCACATACGATTCTTTTGCTCCCTATGAAGAAAGCCAAGCTCTCCTGGCCCAGGGATGGTCGTGTCTGCCTGAGTAAGAAGGAGCTGGAGAGCGAGCAGGGCTGCGCTGGGTGCTAGAGGAAGTCGGGCTGGGAGTTCCTGGGGCGGGGCAGGTGCAGGGGAGGCCTAGGGCCCCCAGGCAAACTTCTCCCATCTCCTCACCTGGTGCAGGGCCGTCGCTGTCTTCTCTGCCCGCTCAGGAGTGGGATTCTCCACAGCAGCAGACATCCTTCTTGGTGACCCTCCCACCCTGGCCCAGATGTGGGAGAGGGACTCAAGGAGTGGTGGCCAGATGATTGAGGGCTTCCTGGCAGAGGGGCCCTGCTCCTACCTTGACTAGGATGTAGGTGCAGGTCCCGTGGAAGCGATATGGCCGGGAGTCAAAAGTGGTGATGAAGGACCCTCCCTCCAGGGAGCATCGGCCTGGACATGGCAGCTCTGTGCAGACCCACTGGCCCGAGGTGCACTGACTGTCAAGCACAGAGGTCTGGTGAGGGGGGCCTGCTGTATCTCACCCAGGCTAGGCTCTTGGGCTCTGGCTGATCTGAGGAGTCCCCGGAGTCCAGGAACTCTGCAGTGTGCCTCGCCCGGGCTGTAGGGGTGAGGCTGAAGCATGCACGTGTGTTCACGAGAGCAGGGCTTCCCATTCCTGACTTTCTAGACTAGTCCTGAGCCAGGTCACCCCAGGAGTGAGGACAGCCTGCTCACTTGTATCCCACCAAGGCATAGAGTCCTTGATCATTCTCTGGTCCTGGGAGGTTCCATCTGCAGAGCCAGACTTTTGGGGGTGGGATCTGGGGCTGTCTGGGTGATTCCCAGACTCCTGGGGCTAGAAGGGTCCTCAGCAGCCTCCAGTCCAGCCCGGACCTGACCCAGAACCTCCAGCATCTGCTTAGAGAGCTCCAGGGGGAGGGCTTCTGCGCTGTTACAAGCTGCCCCCTGCCGCTGTGCCCCATGGCCACCTCTGAACCTCCTGGGTCAGATCTCTCTGCCCCCCCCCCCCCGCCCAGGGACCCACCAGGTCCTGCAGGAGGCTTTCATGACTTCTCCAGGGGCATAGATGGCTCTGTTAAATGTGCAAGGACACCGCTCAATGGGGACACAGCTTTGGTTCTTGGAGATGTCATCGAGCACCATGCCTGTTGTGACAGGAAGGGTCTATGAATTTTAGAGCCGAAAGAAAACTTGGCTCCTCAGAGATGGCTAGGGCTCCCTTAGGAAGTCAAGGAGAGCCCTGCTGGGGCTGGAAGAGGGTGCTTTGGTGGGGGCTGGGAGGCAGGGCCCCCTCTCCATAGCAGGATGATGTGAGGGGACACCTACTGGCCATCTTCTCCAGTTTCTTCCCACCAGCCCCTCTGATGTTTCCCTCAGGGGCTCCGGGCCTCAGTTTACCTTCGGGACAGAAGCAGCCAAAGGTGCAGAGGCTGGGGCAGCTATATGCTGGGTTGGAGCATGTCTTTATGCAGGGCATCCCACACTCCTTGTAGACCTGGTTGCCAGGACACTCCCCTAGCGCTGTGACCACATGCCCGGGAGAAATCAGCAGTGAGGAGAGGGGCCAGAAGACATGCCAGGTCCCTTCTCCTGTCTCCCTTTCTGCCTTGAGTCACCTAGCTTTATGCCTTCTCAGCACTGGATTGTAAGCTCCCTGAGGGGCAGATCTGAGTCCTGACTGCACTGTAGGCCCCAGCCCCTGCCCCTTCCCCCCCCCGCAACTCTAGACCAGTAAAGGATTCCCAGGGAGGAGACCTGGGGCAGGGCCCAGGAGCCCCTAACCAAGGGGAGTCCCTAGCACCTGAGGGTTTTCTCATCAGGCTTTGTCTGGGGGCTGTGCATGGAGTCCTAGGTTCTGCAGAGGCCCCCAAGGTCCCACAAATCCTAAGAGTCAGCCGGGACTGGAGCCCTGGTCGTCCCACTCCAAGCTCAGTGATCTTCCCTCTTCCTCATCTGTCTGCCAAGTACTCTCCTTGGAGGAGCAATCATGGTTGTTCTCAGGAGAGGAAACAGTCCCAGGGAAGTGACCATAGAGGCCATGTGACTGAGCCTTCTTACCCTTCCTGCCTGGCTCAGACTTTGACCCCTGACCTCCTGGCTGCCCACCACCAAGACCCCCAGGCAGTGACCAGGGTGGGGAGCACATTTCTGGGGCCCCTGGGCTCCTGCCACTGCCTACTGAACAGGCCGGGGGGGGGGCCCAGCTCCTCCCGCTCCAGGCACTCACGGCAGAAGTTTGGCCTCCTCCACTCGGTGACCGGCTGGCCACTCATGGAGCATTGCCGAGAGTACTCGGACAGCGTAGGGCAGCTGCAGTTGGGCTGGGCCGGCTCCTGACAGGCCTCCAGGTCCAGCTGGCAGCGGATAGCAAAGGCTTCCTTGGACACGTTGCAGTTGGGGCCCACCTGGCTCAGCAGCTGGAGACAGAGCTGGGTCTGTGCAGGGAGGGAGGCGGGGGTCACACTCAAGAGGTTGCCCCAGCTTTCTGAGGGTCCTAGGATCTGACTGGGGGCCGTGGGAGCTAGGGAGGCTCCAGGCTAGCCCCAGGCCTACACTCCCATTCCACAGGTGAGCAAACAGAAAAAGTCCAAGGGTTGGAGTAGGTTGGAGTGCTTCAGCACTCAGGACAGGGGTAGACCTCTGGGCAGAAGCCTGCCTTGGGGCATTGAGGCAGTGGGGATGTGGGGGAGAATCTGTCAGGGCACCTTAGGAGCGTTACAGTGGGGGCAGTCTGGAGGAAGGCACAAAGTCACCAAAGGGGCCGCAGAGGCCGGTAGGCCAGCGCCAACAACAATCCCTCTGCCATAGCCAACCAGTGAACAGCTGGCCTGTGCTTGGAGACCCCCAGTGACCGGGAACTCACTCTGCCCGAGGTAACCCAGCTTCTCCCCGGGAGCTGACTGGATCCGTGCCTCTGTGATCTTGGTGTGTTCCCTCAAATTGTCTTTCCTTTCCCTTACTCCCCTCCCTGGCATCTGCTTCTGTTCCGGGGGCCAAGCAGGGTAAGACTTCTCTCTTCTCCAGGAGACAGACGCTCCAGTGCTGCAGACAGCTCTCATTCCCTAAGCCTTCCCTTGTCTCCTATGACACGGATCCCAGGACATTCGCTGGCCCAGTTGTTCTGTGGACATTCCCAGCTCATGTCTTCCCTAAACCGTGTCTGGTGCCCAGAGGTGAACCCCATCCTCTAGAAACGCTCTGTCCAGGGCAGAGATGAGAAGCCTCTCACACCCTCCCCTCCGTCTTAGACCCTCTCAGTCTGTGACTGAATGAGCTGTCTGGACTTCAGGGGATGCCAGGGCAGATCACAGCCCACTCACGCCAGCTCTCAGATCTTTTTCAGATAACTCCCCTATTGTTGGTCTGGGTGGTCCCACACCTCTCTGACTGCAGGCTCTTCTACGGGGCGAAGGCATGGAACTGAGTGACCAGTGGCTTTACAGGGCCTCCCTCCAACTCAGCCCCTGCTCTGAGATCAGCCCAAGGCTTCTTTTTATTGAGGGCAGAGTAAAGGGGTCATGGCCCCTAGCCCAGAGTTCTGAACTCTCTTTCTGCCGGTGCCTGAGGACTTTGGGATCTGTGCTGGAAGAGCCGGCTAGGAGGGGGTGGGACACTCAGGGTGAGAGAAGGCCTGACCACAGGGAAAAGTGTGTGTGTGTGTGTGTGTGTGTGTGTGTGTGTGTGTGAGAGAGACTGTGAGTATATGAGTGTGAATGTGTATGAATATGTGTTTATGAGTGTATATGTGTGAGTATATGTGTGTGAGTGTGTGTATGAGTGTGAATGTGTATGTGTGAGTGTGTATATGAGTGTGAATGTGTGTGAATGTGTATGTGTGAGTATATGTGCGTGCATGTGTGAGTGGGTATATGGGCACATGTGTTTCCCCCCCCCGGGGCAGCAGTGCCAAGCCTTCCTCACGTACGTGATTCCTGGGCATCCTGTTGGCCATGGGCAGCTCCTCATAGGTACAGATCTCTGTGGGGTCATCTAGTTTCTGCAGGGCTACATATTCATACGGTTCCAGAAATTTGCCTGGCAGGGAGGGTGCAGAGGGCATCACAACTGGGCACGGGAGCTCACTGCCAGCCCCTCTGCTTGGGCACCCAAGCCCCACCTCCCCAGGGACAACTGAACTCAATGACCATTTACTATGGAGCACAAAAACAAAAGGAGAAACAAGTCCCTGCCCTCAAGGAGCTTCCATTCTCCTGGACAGGAGTAACAGGTAAATACAGACTGGTCATTTGAACTGCTCCAGAAACCAGGGGCCCCTGGAGCTGAGCTTGAAGGAGCTGGGGGCCTAAGAGGCAGGAGGGAAGGAGGAGCGAGCCCGGGCATGGGGGAAGATCAACACTCAAGCAGAGAGGTGGGGGCAGGGCATGTCTGGCTCCCTAGTTTGTGGTGGGAGCGATGGAAGGGAGCCCGCAATGGGCAATGTCAGGGCTGGGCTTGAGTCTCATTCTTGAGACCACAGCAAGTGACCAATGAGTCTTGGGGAGGATGTGGTCAGCTGGACTTTAGGAAGCTGATTTCGGTGTCCATAAGTAGGGTGGGTCAGAGAGGGCAAGCCCAGCGACAGGGAGACCCAGGAGAAAGAAGGGGTGACGGCAAAGCAGGTGAGAGCTAGGGCCACGTTCCTGTGACAGGAGAGACAGGGACAGCGCTGGACAGGAAGACCAGACCTGGGGCCAGGGAAAGGGCCATCAGCTGAGCCCAGACCCTGGCTAGAACCCTTTCCAAGGATCCCTTCCCCTTTGCTGGACGGTGGCCTAGACTTTCCAGGCAGGAGGAGCCCAGGGTCTCTCTTGGGGGCCTGCCTGGGGCCAGTTCTCCTCGGGAGCTGGAGGCCTCACCTCCCATGGGCCCATGACAGGGGGAAGAAGGAAGGGGAGGGGGGCAGGTGGGGGCTCAGTGCCAAGTCAATTCCTCACCACCTTTGCTTTGAAATTCATTGCTTTCTTCACCGTCAAAATTCCCACACAATCCGCAGGTCTTTTTCATGTACTTGGCCTCAACCATGACCTAGAGGGAAGGAGAGCCTGGCAGTGAGCAGCCCCTACCTGGAAGTTTTCCAAGGAACCCCCTGGACCCCCTGTCCCAGGCCGGGCCTTACCATGAGATAATCGTCATTATTCCACATCACCACCAGCTCCATCTCTAGGAGCTTTGCCACCAGCCGCACATTCTGCCCAAAAGGCATAATCTGGATCCCATTGCTGGTGTAGGGAAGGCTGACCACCCTGGAAGAGAGTAGCCCTCAGCCCTCGGCCTGGCTGCCCCTCCCCCCTCCCACAGGGCGGGCCCCTGGCCTCTCTGCCCCTGCTGCCTAATCATGAGCCAGTGAGTGATCTTGGCAAACAGAATGTCAGCCTGCAGGGGCCGAGTGGAAACTGAGGTCTGGAGCCTGGAGGTGTCTGATGGGCCCAGGGTCGCACAGCAAAGGAGTTGGGGGAGTCAGGGCTTGTGACCAGGCACTTTCCATGAGCGATGCCCACTCCCTGTTGCCAGCCTTGGTCTTCAAAGTCTGTCTTTCCCCTTTATTCCCGTCTGCACTGAGGGGCCACGGGATTGGGGCTGAGCCCCCAGCAACGCCTGCAGGCCTGCTGTCCTCTGGCCCCACCCCACCCCTCCGAAGTCAGCGTTCTCTCCTGCTCTGCCCAAACCTCATCTCCCGCACCCCGGGGATCCTGCCCTTCTCCTTGCCTTGTGCATCCTGGACGTGAGCTCTGTCCCCTGGGGACCCCCTGGCTGAGAGCTCTGGAGCCTTGGTGCTGGCCCCGGCCCACCTGGCTGCCAGCAGCAGAGCTTACCCAGCATCCTTAGTGGAGATGATCGAGTTCTCCACAGTGATGACGGAGGGCCCCACCTCAATGATGATCCTGGCCATTTTCTTGTCTGGACCCCTTCGCAGCTGGATGTCAAAGTCGGGGGAGGCGCCATTGCAGACGGCGGCTAAGATGTAGTTGCACGTCCCAGAAAACTCGTAGAGGTGTTTGTCGAAGGTGGAGAAGTGTCCGCCACCCCATGTCGAGCACCAGCCTTTGTTCAGGGCTAGGGGGGAGGGAGAGTGGGTCAGAGGTCATCTGGCCCCCAGGCAAGGGAGGTGAGAGCGGGAGAGGCCCTCACAGTGAATGGTGACCTTGGTCTGGGAGAAGCCCAGAGTTGGGAGGGTCCTTAAGAGGCCTGTGCAGGAATCCTTGCCTCTCCTTGAACACGTCCAGTGACAGAGAGCTCCGTCCCTCCCAAGAGTCAGTTTCTATTATGAGTCAGATCAGGGAGTTCCTTCTTGTAACTCCTCCTGGGGGTCCTCTGGGACTTGGCAGTCACCAGAACAAGTGTGCCCCTGGATTTCCTGTGTGATGACCCTTCAAATACTTGCAGACGGTGGCCTTGGTCCCCCACCGCCTTTTCTTCTCCAGCCTGATTGGCCTGGGTGCCTGTCCCAGGCAGTCAGGGGGCCACTCAGAACAGAGCATGGTCCTTAGAGGACTCTCACCTGCCCTATCCTGGAAGCTAAGCGTCCCCTGATGTGCTCAGACACAGTGTTCAATGCCTCAGCTGCCACATCTCACCCTGCTGACTCCTCGCTGTCCCAGCACTAGAAGTCCACGTTTTGGGGAGAGCGGGCTGCTGCCAAGCCTGCCATACGCCTCCGTTCTGTACTGGCCAAGGGAATGCCTTGAACCCAAGCGTAGGACCTTCCATTCGTTAACTTTGCTTGCCCGTCAGGGCTATTCTGTGGCTGCTGGGGTCCTGGCCCAGGGCAACAGGAGGCAGCCGCATGGGGCCAGCCTCAGCTCCCTCATTTTGTAGAGGCCCAGAAGGGGGGGAGAAGAAATGTTACGGAGCATCTCCTGGGCGCTAGGCACTGGGCTAAGGCCTTTCTACGGCCAGGGAAGGCCCTAGACTTGGAGCCCTTCTTTGAATGGTGGCCTCAGAGGCTGGCAGTACAACCCCCAGAGGGGGTGGCCCACCAGAGATTGCGGGCTGGGCCCAGGGGCAGGAGGGCTGTGAAAACTGTCCCACAAGCACATGGGCAGTTCTCCTGGGCTGCCTGGCAGGGTCGGGGGGCTACTGGAGGAGTAGGAGTGCAGGGAGGGGGCTGGCTTAGGCCCCCTTCACCCAGTCCTGATGTGCCTTCTCTTCTTTTCCGGGCACCCCATGGGCCACATTCTTACTTACGGGAAGGCGGGTCCTTATTCTCCTCCATGGCCAAGGACACTGCAGCTCCAGGGCCTAGTGGCAGAAGGAGCAGCTCAGAGCAGTGGAGGGCATGCTCATCTAGCATTCCGCCCTCCAAGGCCCCACAGCCTAGCCTCCCCTCTTCCCTTTTCAGTTTCCTCTGGCAGGGTTTCCCAGGGAGGGATTCAGGGGTGCCCAGCATCCAGCCTCCCAAAGGACTGTGACCCCTCTCTAGGCCCCTTGTAGACTCCTGAGGCCTTTCTGCCTGGAGATGTGCTGGGGCCCCGCGGGTGAGTTAGGCCTCCTGCAAAGGGACTGTCTTCACTATCTCACAGGGCAGGGCTGAAACCCTGGGGAAGCTAGCTGGCCTGGGCCCCAGGCCAGGGGCTTAGAGCCCTCCAGGTCCTGAGCTGTGGCAGTCCTGGGCTTCGGCCCTGAAGGAGCCCTCCCCTCAAAGCCACTCCTTCCTTGTGGCTGGGACAGGCTTTTAAGTCCCACTGAAGAGACCTTACCTGTAGTTGTCTGAGACACTGTCCTGCTGCCTGGAGGAATAAAGAAACCAGGAAGAGGAGTCAGTGTGCTTGGCCTCTAGGGGCTTTGGGCCAGGGGCTAAGAGAAGCCTCTGGATAGGTGGGGCCAACATCATCCTAGCCCTTACTCTAGGGAGACTAGGAATGGGGATGTTGTGAAGAAAGTGTCCACCTGAGCTTGAGTCAGGAGAGCTCAGTCCTGGCACTGATGTGGCTTCCTGGCCGTGGGGCAAGTCCCTCCCTCCTGTTGAGCCTCAGTATTCCTTTCTGTTAAAAGGGGGCGATGACTCCTCTCATGACCAGGACGTGCCTAAGTCTGCTGTGAGGAATGTGCTCAGGAAACCTCAAATCACCAGAGAGACTGGAGCTCTCAGAGTGACCCGGGCCCTGGTGAGGAGGTCTGCTCTGGGGAGAAGCTCAGCAAGCCCAGACCTCCTCAAGGCAGGCAGGAGGTCCTGGCCAGGAGGCAGCACACTGTCCCCTCCTCCTCGTGGAGCCCACGGCCTGGTGGACACACAGAACCTAGCTTTCAGAGACCGTTCAGGGCAGCTGCAACAGGGGAAACTAAGGCCCACAGAGAGGCAGGGATGTGCCCAAGGTCCCATAGGGAGGAAGTGGGGGAGCTGGGATTTGAACCCAGGGCCTTTGGCCCCACCTCTGGGGGCTGCACAGTTCTATCCAAACTTCCTCAGGATCTCTGCCCCCCTAGAAGTGCCTAGGACAATGCTGGGCCCTGAGGCTGGGCCCATTGATGAATTCTTCATGATTGAAAGTAGGAGGCCTTAAAAGCCAAGTCAGGTCTGTGGGGGTTAAGCACTCTCGGGCTTCCACCACTGCTGCCTCCTCTGGGCAGATGCCAGGGCCCTCTGGGCCTCTGGGGGCTGAGGGCACTGGATGGCTCTGGGGGTCTGAGGGCCGGCTGGCCCCTGTGCTGGGGAAGAGGCCCAGCCTGGGCCCAGTGGCTTCTCTCGGCCCAGCCCTTCCGGGGTTGTCTGGGCCGAGATCCCAGAGCCAGGATTCACTCACCCAGGGTCAGGGCTCTCTTCTCTCTCTGGTGCAGCTTGTTGGCAAAGTAGTTGTTCTCCAGGCCTGTCCAGGGAAGAAGGTGCATCCGTCAGACATCCATTCCCTCATTGCCCCTGCCATCGTGCATGCCCCACGTATTAAGCACCAGCTATGTCCGTGGCCTGTGCCTGGCCCACCCTTGGGCAGCTCACAGTCCAAGAGAGGATGACCTAATGCAGACAGATGAGGGGCAAGCCCAAGACTCTGGAGCATCAGAGAAGGCCTTCCTTATGGAGGCGACCCCACAGGGTAGAGCCAGGAGCAGAGGGAGGAAAGCTGAGAAGGGCAGAACTCGCCTGGCCCTTTGCCATGCTGCAAGCCCTCCTCTTGGGCCGCCACCTCCCTGGGTGGTGGGGCAGTGCAGCTGGGTTTTCCAGGGAGAGTTGGGGTTTGGCAGCAGCAGCAGGGGGTTCCATGCCTAGCCTAAGAACAAGAGGCTGAGTGACTGCCTGAAAGCCCAGGGCTGGCATGGGGGTCAGAGCCTGAACCAGCTTGGCTGGCAGGAGGGACGTGTGGGGGGGGGAGTTAGTAGGAGCTGGATCTGGAAAGGCAACGTGGCACTCGCCTCGGGAAGGCCTTCGGTGCTGGGCAGAGAGATTGGCACTTTCCTCAGTAAGCAAAGGGAACCAACCTTTGAGTGGGGGGGGGGTACAGAAGAGAGCGATTTGGCCACATTCGAAGTAGGGATGCCAGGGTGGAGGGAAGAGAAGGGACAGGAGGGGACGTTGGTGCACTTGCCCCTGCAGGGGAGGACAGCCAGGGCTTGGCACAGGGCGATGCAGTGACAAATGCCCTCAGCTGTGGTCAGTCACTGGCTGTTCCACCCCTGGCCCTTTGCCGCTCTGACAATACAGGCCCTGGGCAGGTATGAATGCAATATCAGAGCCTCAAATCTGCCTGTGCGGAGGACAGAGCATTTGAGAAGGGGAGAGGGGGGGACAAGGACAGAGGCAGGGAAGAGGGAAAGACCGAGCGCTCTCCTTCATCCTGGACACCGGGGGGCCTCTGTCAGCGCCCAGCTGTGCCCGGGAGCCCAAAGAAAGGTCTCTGTCCCTCAGCCTGGGCTGGCTCTGGGCCTGCCTGGCTCTAGGCCTCACTCAGAGGGGACAGACACGAGGAGGCCTAGGAGCAGGTGAGAGAGCAGGCTGACCTGGCAGGCTCCTCCCTGTCAGTGGGGATTGCTGGCTTTTGAGGAGGGAGCCCTGGCTCAGTGCCTACCAGGGCACTAAGAAGAGTGCCCTGAGATTGGGGGAAGCCTCCTGCCCTGCGCTGCCTTGTTCTTACCTGGAGCTTGTCGGAGTCTAGACAGTCTCATGGCCTGGGAGGCACCGGGTGCCCTCGAGCTGTCTGTCCTGCCCTGGCTTGTCCTTTCCTACCCCTTGGGGTAGGGGGAGCTGGGGCCTGAGCCCTGAGCCCTCCAAGGAAGGCTCCAATGGCGGTGGAGATGTTTCTGTAGCCATGTGATTTCTGGGGCATTTCGGTGAGTTTGGAAAGTCAGACTAGGCTGGGGGGTGGGGTGGGGGGCAGAGCCAGGAGAGGACTTCTAAAGAAGGTCCAAATCGACACCTGTAAATGAGCTGGTCTGCCTTGAAGTAGCCCAGTCAATTATTATGCATTTATTAAGCACCTACGACATGCCAGGTGTGTGCTGTGTGCTGGGGTCCCAAGCAAAGCCAAAACAGGCCTCGTTCTCAAGAAACTACTGAGGGAGTGAGCATGCAAACACCAGTGTACGAAGTTAAGTGCGTGCTGAAATGCTAATGAGATGTCCAAGGGCAGTCGGTGATGAAAGACTGGAGTCAGGAGAGAAGTTTTGGTTGACACACGTGCATACTTGCATGTGTCTATATATGTACACTGCACACATAGGTGTATGCAACAACACACATGTGTCAACATAACACATGCTATGCTGTGCATAGCACACACATGTACACACACAATTATATAAACACGTGTATGTATACGTACAATACACTGGGAGTCATGTGCATAGAGACGATGAGCCCGTGGAAGCTGACTGCCACATGAGAGCGTGGAGAGAAAAGCTGTGAGGCCCTAGAACGGAGCCCAGGACCAGCCCACAGGCAGCGATGAGCCAGAGAAGGGGGAGATGGGCAGCGTGCCAGCAACGAGGTTCGCTGAATGATAAACACAACCAAAGGCTGCAGAGAGGTCAGGAAGGACACACGCAGGAGGAGACTGGCTTATGTTAAGAGATGGTTAGGGAGGGCGGAGCCACGATGGTGGATTAGGGGCTGCCGCCCAGCTGACCTCTCCCAACATTCCCCTCCAAGAAACTTTTAAATAACTCCTCAAATTACTTTCTGGAGAGGTACAGCCGCAAAAAGTCAGTGGGAGACATCTTCCCAGACTGTGTTCTTAACACTGAGGTTGGTAGGAGGACACTGGGGTGGAGGCCCGTCTGGAGCCCACATGTGTGGCTGCAGCAGCAGCTTCAGGAGCTCTCCACCCAGAGACAGTGAGGGGGTCAGACAACTGGTCAGAAAGGGATTGCAGGGGACCTTTGGCTGGCACTGGGTGCGGCTGGCGCTGATTGGCAACTCCTTTGCCCATACACTGTTCTGGATCGCAGTTCCAGGGTGGTGGGGAGCACTTGTGGTCACTCACAAGGGAGCAGAGGCCCTGGTTACAGTTCCAAAGCAAAGAGGAGCACTAGCACTTGTGGCTGCAGGGGGAGCAGGGGCCCTACCAGAGTGCAGACCAGGAGAGCAGTGACCACACCTCTCCTCGGATCATACCACCTTGGAAGCACCAAAAACTTGTCGACCACCAGAATTAGCTCTGAAAACGGCAGCATGAAAAAGCCCAAAGCTTGGGACAGTGCCTCACCACCCCCAGATGAGCAGAGCCCAACTTTAACATAAAATTTGAAGTTAAGAAATAGCCTGGAAAAATGAGTAAGCA